TGTGTTTTTGACACCATAGCTTACATCTGTACGCGTGTCTCTTAATGCTTCATTGCATTACAGCTAACTCCGCGCCTTCTGCCCCTGAACCTCCGTGCGGCCTCACGTCACCGCCTTCGCTGCGTGTCTGCCTTTACCAGCGTGGCTTTCCTCCTTGTGTGTTTTCTTGTTTCTCGTTACTTTTACTTTTGCTTTTGCTCAGAGAGGATCCTTTACCATCTCTGTAAGGCTGGTTTGCTTGTAGCAAACCGTTAGTTTTTGCTTGCCTGGGAGGCCCTCTCTCTCCTTCAGCTCCGAGTGGCAGTCTTCTGGGTGGAGTGCCCCTGGCGGCAGGCTCTTCCCTCCAGCACTGCAAACGCACGGGGCCGCCGCCTCCTGCCCCGGAGCTCCTGCCGCCAAGTCAGCTGGCAGCTCTACAGGGGTTCCCTTGATTGTGGCTCTTGCTGCCTTTAAAAGTTTTTTCTTTTTAAAATTCTTTATCTCTACTTTTTGCCATTTTAATTATGCTGTGTTTCGGTGTGTGTGTCTCTGGGTTCACCTTGTTTGGGACCCTCTGTGACTCCTGTACCCGGTACCTTTTCCTTCTTCCGGTCAGGGAGGTTCTCAGCCACTATTTCATCACGTACATTTTCTGCCCGTGTTTCTCCCTCCTCTCCTTCTGGGCCCCCTGTAGTGCGAATGTTAGTGTGCTAGGTGTTTCCTCAGAGGTCCCTTAAACTGTCCTCTTTTTTCCTTCCAGTTTTACTGAGGGGTAAGTAACACGAGCACTGAACAAGCTTAAGGCGCTCGGCGTAATGGCCTGGCCCGCGCACATCGCCAAGGGCTCTCCCCACGCCCCAGCCTGTCCTCGTTTTACACCGTGCTTGCTTTCTGCTGCTCCGGTCGGGTCGCTTCCCCTGCGTCCTCCACGGAGCTCACGGTGCTTCTGTGTAAGCTCGCCCACTGTTCAGCCCCTCTGGCGTGGTTTTCATTTCGCTGTGCTCTTCAGCTCTGATCTTTCAAAATTTCTAATTCTCTGTCGACGTTCTCACTGTGTGCCACTGTCCTTTCCCCTAGTTTGCTGAGCGTTATTCTGGACCTCTGCCCTGAACTTTTTATCAGGTAAATTACTTACCTCTGTTTCATTAGGGTTTATTATTGTTTTTTGGCCTGGGCATTTAACTTGTTCTTTTGTTTGGAACGTTCCTCTGTCTCCCCATTTTGTTTGATTTTCTGTTTGTCTCTATGAAATTGTGCGGAACAGTCACCTCTCCTGGTCCAGAAGGCATGTCCCTGTGTGGGAGCCTCCCTATGCCATCTGCGTGTGCCCAGGGGCTTTGGTGGGGCAGCTGGGCCTGAGTGACCATGGCCACGTCTTCTGTGATGCTCTGGGGCCACCACACACGACACTTACTTTACAGACAATTCCTGTTTCCCTTTTAGCCAGCGTTCTCGGGATGCTGGCTCTCGGTGGTGGGCATTTCTTGGCATGTTGCAGGTTTTAAATTTGAGCTCCCATAACTGAGGATTCACTAGCCCCTCTCTCTCTGAGGGAATCACAGCCTGCCTCGTGGTGGGCGAGCTCTTCGGTGCTTTTGTATCTGCTCCTGTCGGTGTCAGCCGAGGACCAGTGGGACTCCAGTGCTCCTGGAGATGCTCCTGCTCAGAGCCCCGGCAGCAAAGTGCTCACGGCCCCCGGCAGCCAGCAGGGGGAGCTCTCTGCTCCTTCCACAGTCCAGGCCACACAAGGCTGCCGGTTCCAGGTGCCGGCCCCACGCCTGTCTGCTCACCTTTGATGCCCTGGAGGGGATATTTCTGCATCTAGGAACCACGTACCCACTCACTGCAGCCACAGAGGGCCTTTTCTTTTTTTATAGTTCGTGGGACTTACCCCTCCTGTGACCTCAGGCAGCTGTTGACTTCGTGAATGCTTTGATTTTGCCCAACATTTTGACGTGTCTGACAGGAAGTGGGTTGTTCCAGCCGAGGCTACTGTGTTGCTATGACTTCTTCAAAGTAAACATTTCCCACCGTTCCCTCCTGTTTCTGGCAATTTTCATGCCGGGACAGTGGTCTGAGCCCCCAGGTCAATGATGCTGTTCATCTGAGGTCTCCGGTGAGTTTCTTGCTGGTGTTTCTCTGCTTTCCCAGGCGGGGTACAGAGACGGGTTTATGCTAGACACTGTGAAGGTTCCTGTCCATATTTTCAGGTCAAAGGAAGGAGGGAAATGTTGAGTCACTGAGGTTTCACTTCAGAGCGGGAGGTCCTGCCTGGAAAGTCCCTGCTGAGCAGAGGGTCTGCTGGGGCCTCCTGGGACCCCACCCAAGTGTCCCGCCCCCTCTCACAGACTCTGCCTGTCTCTGATGGCTCTGACATGTGACTCGCCCGTGTCTTCAGTTTCTAGGTGGGACACAGACACCCTGGTTCTAAGCTTTCCATCGTTCACTAGGGACTTTGGGTTTGGGGGAGTCAGTTCTCCGTCCTGAGCTTGACCAGGGCTTTGATTATAAACAGCATTTCTAGACAGAGGAGTTGTCTCTGGGTAAAGGAATGCTTAGTGTCACCTGGGGGGCGCAGAGCGCGCACTCCTGTATGCGTGCGCAAACGCTGGTGTGACTATACACGTATGTGCATGAGTGTGTGTGCATGTGCACCGCGGGCGCCCACGCTGGCCTGCCCAGCCACCCACAGGTGGCCCCCTGAGGAGCTGGCTGCTGTCTGTCAGTGTGGTCGGTCAGGATGTCTGTGGCTTCCTGAATTCCCATGAGGAAGGAACGGGGACAGGAGCCAAGGAGGGGCCTCGCACTGACCGGCACCTGGCCTGGGGTGGACAGGGCTTGGGAGCTCAAGGGTGGTCTGGGGCCAGCCCAGGGCAGGTGGGGCCCAGGGCTCCAAGGACAAGGCGGAGAGAATCCCGGGGCGGCCCCTCCCTTCCTGCTCCCGGCCCGCTGGCTGTCCTGTGCCAGGGGCCTGCGTCACCTGCGCTCTCCTTCCCCCTGACAGGGAGAATGTATTCAGGTCTGCTGACAAGGAAGAAACCCTTGAAGCATCTGGGAAACGTGCCAGGCCAGAAGACCGAGACGCTTAAGCTGCCACACAGGCTGAAATGCTCATATTCCACCTACAACCAAGAGTGAGCGTCTGGCGGCCCACCTGCCCACGCAGGACTCCGTGAGCCCGAGGTTGCCGCCTGCCTGCCAGGGAAGAAGGCCACCATCCCAGCCCTCCCCTCCCGCGAGGGGCACGGAGCCCACCCCAGGACTCACCGAGGGACAGGTGGGTGAGCACACAGCTGCTGCCTGGCAGGTGTCTGGGGACACTTGTGCTGCGCCCTGGGCCCTGCAGGAGGCCCCCTGTGCTGGGGACCCTGCTCCTCACACTCACGGGGCCTGGGGCCCCAGCCGCTAGGCCCTAAGTGGCCACGGGCGACAGAGACTTTGTTGAATGTTTGCCTGACAGACCAGCGCGGGCTGCGACACCCAAATAAACTGGCCCGCAGTGGCTCACGGCTCTGTGTTGCAGCCTCGGTACGGGAATGCTGGTGCTGGGCCCCGTGCACGGCGCGGTGCTGGGGAGGCCGGTGCCCAGGCCGGCAGGCAGGGGGCTCGGGGGCTCGGCTGGGGCTGGCAGCTTCACCCAAAGACCCTGCAGGACTCAGCCTGGGGAGGCGGGGTGGCGAGGGCAGGGGTTCCTGCTCTGGTGAGCGATGCCAGGCCGTGCTCTCTCTGGCACTGTCCCAACTGGACCATCAGGATGTCCTGCCAGGCCAGGCCTCGGGACGATGCTAGTCCCCATGTTCTGGCCTCCTGGGCGTCCCTAAGGCTGCTTGGCGGGAACTGGAACCTGGAACAAGTGTGTCCAGAGCACGGCAGGGGTGGACAGCAGGGGGGCCCAGCCTGGGGCGGTACATGCTCCCTGCAGCTGTGGGCCACACTGCCAGGTGCCACGCATGTCCGAGCCCCTCCCTACCTCCCAGCAGGCCCTAAGTCACAGCCTGCTGTGCACAGCCCACAGCGTGCACTCGCTGCCGGGCTGGACAAGGGGGTCGGAGCAGCCACGCGCAGTCTCCAGCTTTTTATTCATTCGAGGACTCAAAGAACACACATCATCTACTGACAGTAGGCCTGGCCTGGCTGCGGCCTGGCCAGTGACGTGGCAGGGCCGCCCTTTCCAGAGATGCATGTGGGGCAGGGCCTGAGTGCAGGCCCCGCGGGGGCTGACCACATGTCACACGGGCAGCCACTCCCCACTCTAGCCCGAGTCCAGCTGGTGCTTACGCGCAGAGGCGGCTCCAGGCCCCGGCCCCCACCCCAGCACTGACAGGGTGAAGAGGGGGCAGGTGTGCCTGCGGGACTGGGCTGCCTGGTGGAGTGCAGGCTCGGGGCCCTGACCAGCGGCCGTGGGGCCTCCCAACCCCATGAGGAAAAGCAAAGCAGTGCTAAGCAGGCTTCTTCAGGCCCCAGTGCTGGTCAGGACCGCTGTCCCCGGCCCCCGCGGCTCTGCGTCCCCCAGGCCCTCGAGGCCCTCCCTCCCCCACCTGAGCCCCTCTCTGGCAGGGCCCCAGCCCCTCCCCAGGGCCTGCAGAGGGGAGGGCCCAGGGGAGGGCCCCCGTCCTGGGGTGGGGCCTCGAGCACCTGGCTGGGCTGGGCACCCAGGTCCCAGGCTGCGGAGGGCCGCCGGGTCCTTCAGAAGCCACTTGCGAGAAGCCGAGAAAGCAGCTCTCAGAGAAAAGGGGGAAACGCCTGCAGGATACGCGCGGCTGGAAGGGCCCTCGACTGTCCCCGCTGCCTGTGCCCCCTGCAGTGCACGGGGTCAGGGAAGGGACCCAGGCGTCCCTCCAGCCTGCAGTGCTGGGTCTCGCTGGTCCTGAGCTGAAGTTTCATCAGGCACCCGTGTGGCCAGTGTTGGCGGCCATGGGTCACCTGCCACCCTGGCCTGTGCTGCCCTGAGCTGGGACCTGGCCCTGGGCCTGGGTGGGGACAGGAGGAGCTACTGCACAGCTGAAGTCCTTGTGCGGGCCGCCGGCCCCGGGAGGACGGCCAGGACCACGGCCCAGTGCCACCGAGACGCAGCTGAGAACAGAGCCCAGAGGTGACGTGGCTGTGCGTCCAAGCAGCCCCACAGCTGCTCTCTGGTGAGGATGACATCTGGACAGACCCGTAAGCGACGGTGCCTTCCTAGGGCCAGCCTCGCCAGCCAGACTCGCCCTGATGCTGGGGGGCCCGGGGGGCCAGGGTCCGTGCGGAATCTCAGAGGCCGTGCAAGACCCCTGACGGCGGGAGCCCTGATGCCCCCTCGGGGGCTCTTGGGCACTGAGGGGTGGCCCTGCTTTCTGACACCTGGAGCCCTGAGTGCTCAGCGGGGGAGGCGGGAGGGGAAGGCACAGGCTCGCACACACGCTCCAGCGGGACCGTGCTCAGGGCTGCTTCCTCACAGGCCTCGGGGCCGCTGCCGTGAGGAGAGACGGCCACCGCATGCCCGAGGTCCCTGAAATGCATGGCTTTTGGGGGCATTGCTCCCGGCTGACCTGAGGGCCTCATACAAAACTGAAAGCAGGGCAGCCTAGGGGGCCAGCGCCACTTGCCCCGCCCCAGGACAGGCACAGAGCTGCGGTCCCTTGCTGTCCCTTCCTGTCCCGCCCCGGGGCCTCTAGGCCGAGAGTTAAATATTGTCTGTTTCGAGTTTTGGCAAAGTCAGTCCTTGGCCTCGGTCCCTGGGGCCGGGGCAGTTACCGCCACCGGGGCCTGGCTGCTGAGAGGAGCAGGGTGAGGGCGGGGAGGAGCAGGAGGGATGGGCAAGGCTGGGGGCAGCCCGCGGCCGAGGTCTTCTGGCCCTCCTGCTCCGACAGGCCGGGAAGGGCGTGGGTCAGGGTGGTCCGGGAGCTGGAATTCTTCTTGCCGACCCTCCGGCCGCAGACGTCGTCTGGGCAGCCGTCGCCGCTGCCTGAGCCACTGCCATCGTCACCTGGAGAGGACAGGAGACCGTGGCAGGCCCACCCGCCTGGGGACCCCGCAGGCAGCGTCTCTCCGGGGGCTTCCCCTGCTGGCGATGCCAGCTCCACGCTGACCACCGCACCCTGACCCCCTGGGTCAGCCAAGGCTGGAGGGACCTCCTGGCCAAGTCTCCACTGTGCTGAGGACAAGGGACAGGGGGACTTGGTGACCACACTTGGGCATCAGCAGTGCCCTCAGGGCCACTGTCGGGGCCCAGGGGCTGGGAGGGCCCCTCCCTGGATGCTTCCTTCCCCAGCTGCGTGGGGCCCCACGACACTCCTGTGCCAGCCCCATGGTCCCCATCTCTGGCCCCCAGCCCCAGCCCCCAGCACCCGCTCTCACTGGCGTCCTGGAAGTCCACGTCGTTGCCGTTGTAGGCGCTGCGCAGACGGTTGGTCATGATCTTCAGCTGCATGATCTGCTGGCGGATGGTCATGTCGGGCTTGGTGATATCGACCTCCACCTCGGGGTTGTTGATCTGGTTGGCCAGGCCGTCGCCCATCACCTCGGGGAGGTACCTGGAGGCCAGGAAGGCAGGCCCTGGGTCACTGCCCTGCTCTCGGCCAAGGGGTACCGCCCCAGCACGCCCTCCCACCCTCTCCTGTCAAGGCAGTGCCAAGCCTAGGACCCCCAGCGGCCTTCAGGGGCTGACGGGAGCCCACGCAGGCACCGCAGCAGTGGGGCTTGGAGGCACCAAGTACGGGGTGTGCTGTCGGGGGCAGGTGGCCCAGGGCGAGGTTTTGGCCCTCACTGCGGCTTGTGTCCTGCTGTGTGTCCCACGTCAGGCACGGTCCTGTGCACATGGCCCTACAGGAGGGACCTAGCCGTGACCATGGAGACGAGATGGCCTGTGGTCAACCAGGAGGCACCTACCGGCCCTTGGCCATGCCATTCCAGCAGCGGTCATCACTGGCCGTGCTCATGGCCAGCTTCTCACTGCACAGTGTCCCCGGGAGGCTGATCCAGAAGTCCTGGGCATCTCGGAGCTGGGCCTTGGCCTCAGAGACCTGTGGGGCAGCAGTCAGGCCACCAGGCACCCTGGCTCGGCCTGCCCTGCCCTCCCCCCGCCAGGGCCTGACCAGCCGAGGGGCCACTCACCAGCTTCTCCAGCGCGCCTGTGGGCGGCCTCTCTGGCAGCGCCAGCTTGCCCCGGCGCCGCCTCTCCTCAGGCCCGGAGCCCTGGGGGTTCACCTTGGGGTTCCCGCAGCCCTGGATGACCTTGGCCGTGAGCGTGTCCCTGTTGTCCTGGAGGGCACTGATGGCCTCTGCCAGCCACAGGTGCACGCTGCCCATGATGCCCTCCGCGCCCGCTGGGCCCCAGAACTTGTCCGTGATGAGCACCATGGAGTCTGGCACGGGCGAGAGCACACACAGGGCATGCCGCATGGGTGCACGCAGGTGCACAGGGCCCCACACGCACGCGTGCTAGTCCACCATGAGCCACACGTCAGCTCGTGCGACAGTACGTACGGTCGGCTTCCTTTAGGCCAGCCCACGTACAGTCAGCTCGGGCGTGTTGGCACGTGTGTATGCAGACTGCACGTGAGCGTTAAGCTTACACGTGTATCATCTGGCCCACCACACACATATCCCCTCACTTGTGACTTCACCTGGGCTCGGCTCACGCCACCGCGTGCCCTCGTCAGCACGTGTTAGTACTCGTGCACGTTGGCACGCCAACCCCTCGCCAGCACGTGCACGTCAGCTCCCAGGTGCCAACGGGGATGCGCGTTGGCTCACGTCCACTCAGATGTACACGCGAGCACACGTGTGTCAGCATACACGCTCGCTGACACACACATCAGCATGTGCACAGGCCAGCCGGCCTGGACGAGGGCTGGCCCACGCGTCACACATCTGCTGGCACGTAAGCCTGGTGGCCCACACGTTGGCGCTTACATACATTCACGTATACACGTCACACACACGTTAGTGCTGGCGCGCGCCGGCCTGCTGCACGGCACGCGCATCTGGAGCACCGGCTCGCGGGAAAGGACAGAACTGTGACCCCACAGGGCTCCTCCCGGGCAGCTGCCCCAGTCACACTCCACTAGGACATTTAGAAGGAATCCTGTCCCTCAGCCCCAGGGACCACCCGCCCCAGAGGACGGGCCTGGCTCCCGGCCCCTCCTGCAGGTGGTGGCGGCAGCGGGGGCTCACCCAGAAGGTTCCTCCACTCGGCGTCCAGGTCGGCCTGGTTGGCCAGGCAGCCCTTCAGCACGTTGCGGCAGTAGTCGGGACAGGGCCGGGCACCGGGCACGCCCAAGCAGTGGGCGCAGTAGACCAGCTTCATGACAGCCCGCGAGCACTCCAGGCCCAGGGGCACCTAGGGGGCCACGGCAGCCTAAGCCCAACGTCGCAGCAGCGTGCTGCCCGCGAGGGGGCCCGGCTGGGACTCCTGCCCCGACCAGTGTGACCTCGGCCCCACGCCAGCCCTTCTCGGGGTCCCGTCTGTTCCCAGATGACCCGGTGGGGGCTGGCCGCAGGGGTGCTCAGCCCAGGGACCGCTCCCTGGAGTCCTGCAGTCACAAACCCTCCCAGGGAAGGCGTGAATACGCCTGCCCACCAGGCAGACGAGAGGACAGAAGCTGGGGCCGGGGGGCACTGGCTTAAGGACCCCAGTCGGAGGGGAGGTGGCTCACACCCAGGCTGCAGGGGTCTGGGGCTGATGCCCTCCCACACCCGACAGGAGCTGCCTGATGGAGGAGGCCCTCCACCCCGACCCTCGCCCCGGGCCGGCCTCGGGGCACAGGTGGCGCTCAGCGCCCTGCCCCAGGCCCTCCTGCCTTCCCTTCAGCCCAGACCCGGCCTGGCGGAGCCTGCCGGGAGCAGAGCTCACATCCTGC